AGAGGAGGGGGGAGGGGGAGGGGGGGGGCAAGAGAGATCTAGAATGACAGTTCCATACTTGCTCTTCTGGTCATTTCCACTTCCCTCCCCTCATCAGGACCGCGCGCTTGCCTCCATTTATTGATATTGCCCTTCATGATGTTCCGTACATAATGTATATTTGGTTATCTATCAAGCTGAAATATCTGTCATTGTCACTTGCGGTGATTTCCCTGTCTCACTTTCACTTCCACTTCTTTCTTAACATATATTTCGTTAAGAAAAAAAAAATGAACAAATTTGGGAAATTTTAGTTTATCCCCGACCTTCTGACTTTTTACCGTTTACACTGAAGTTTGTTGTGTAGTAGGATAAAGCTCAGCTGCAAGTTATTTCCGTTTTCTTCCTGTTGTTTCCATATCTCTTTCCTTAGAAATCTTACATACTGGTAACGGGGTAGTCCTGGATCAGATTTGCAAATGCTACGATAGAAGGTAGATTTTGAACAGAAGCTTTTGGTAAGAGTTATTCAGTTAAAAAAGTAGTGGAAAGGATAAAAGTAATAAAGATATGCTAGAATGGACCAATAAGAATACTGGATACGGTGACCGTAATTGGTCTATTTGGTGTGCACTTGAAGTCTTGCTTGATAATTGACCAATGTTCTCCAGTCCTAGACGTGTGAAATATTGAGAGATTAAATTAAATTGAATCAGTGAGGTTTATTTGGGAAAGGGTTGTGCAAGATAATGAAACAAAGGTTTATTTAATAGGAAACAATATTTAAACGGTAAGATTTTAGTACTATATATCAGGTTACCAATTTTTGCCATTAATTTAATCGATGGAAATAGAATCAGGAATTCAGGATGTTTTTGAATAAATTTCATTCAAATAGCGAGGAATGATAACTGTTTTAACTTATATTTTTCCCTCTCGGTGATTTTTTGTTCAATTTTTCTTTTTTTTCTTAAATGTTTTTAGGGAAATGATTTTCGATAATGTTCCTTCCTGGGTCGATTTCATTATAGATGGAATTCAACAGGAAAAGTTAAAAACGCGTAGATATCTCTCATTACCTGTTTACTCCTTTCACACAATAATTTTAGCGTATACCTTCGCTTTTAAAATGTTTTAAAATTTATGAATAGAAATTTTGAATTAGTTCTATGTCAGATACCAAGTATAAATTGCATAAGTTATGTGGATGGAAATAATACCCAAAATGTATATAATATGTTGATTTTAACCTAGTTGTTATGATACCATAGATCCGTTTGTTGGACAGGGTTGGCAAATTGGAGCAAATGTGTATGTGTATGTATGTGTGTATGTGTATGTGTGTATGTGTATGTGTGTATGTGTATGTGTGTATGTGTATATATGTGTGTGTATGTGTGTGTATGTATGTTTGTGTAGTTTACCCGCTGAAATAGGCCGACAAATCCATATGCTCCACTGAAGAGTATTTGTTCAATCCCTTTCCCCCCAATAGGTAAGAAATAGAGGGAAGGTGGAGGGTCAAAGGTCAACGCAGATGCTCTCAATATTCCTTCCTTTTTACTTATATGGACAGTTTCGAAGGTGACAGTAGCACCGACATGTCCGAGATATCTGAGATGACTCTTGAATTGGTTTATCTATTATTCCTCGGATAATGCTACCCCTCAAAATATCCGTAACCTTTCTGGTCGTTTGCATGACAAATCCTTATAACTTATATCACGAAAAAGATTGTGGTAATGCTTCCATTCCATTCAATCGGTGGATTGAAAATGTCGTAATTCCTTGCAAAGGACGTCTCGCTTTCACCGGTGACCTTGGTTTGTTATGTTTAAGTACTAAGGCACGCGGTGAATGCCAAACGTTCTATTGCTGTATCATGTTGTCGCAGATAATTTTCCCGATTCCATATATCCGATCATCATTTCCAACAAATCTTGATTGTCCTAGAAGAGGTTTGCTTTATTTTTTTTAATTTTTAAACCATTTCGACTGTATGACAAATGATAAATGATATTGTTGAAAGGAAAGAGACAAAGGAAAGATGACCCTTATCATTGCTTCCGTCGGTTTTCCAGAGAAATGGGTAAAAAGTGTTTAATAATTGAATGCTGAAATCTAAAATCTGAAATGCTCATTAGCAAGCATAGTTTAGCTCAGAAGGAAAGATCCCCAATAATAATAAATAATTTAGTCCAAAAAAAGGAAATATTGGAGAGAGGATGTATATTTTAATTTCAAAGGGGACAAAAATATTATTGTAGCTTTGTCCATCATAAATGTTGTATTAAAAGGCAGCAAAAATTTAAATGTACTTTTGAGATTAACATTTAAGCGGAAAAGTTTACGCAAAGAAACTTACGGAGAGACAAAAATTTCTACGTAACATTACGCAACGTATTTTCCGTTTTCTTTTTTTTTTTTTTGTTCTTTCACACAAAATGTGTGACTTCTCATTAAATGAAGCAACATTTAATAGTAACTCATTATGATCTGATATACGCTTTCGATCAATGAATTTAATTTCATGTATCAAATATTTTGCATTTCTTGCATACTATCCAACTGAACTTGCTTGTCGCAATTTCGGCATATTTATTGAAAATTTCTAACACCTACCAATTTTCCTATAGGTTAGTAATGTTTGTTTTTTCTTTCCAATATTTATAATTTGGAACATATCAGATCGAATCAAGGAATTCATTTTTCTTTTGTATCAACATTTTGTCAACAATGTAAGTGTATTCAGGATAAAACATTCAGTAGGTAAATGAAAAAGCTTAAGTACTATACTTAAGTTTATAGTATTTATACTTAAGTTTATAGTGCATAATTTAAGTACTGTAAACATAAAAAAGAGAAAAAATTGGCTTTCAAAATTTACCGAGTAAATAGGAAGAGAAAAAAAATCCACCTGATGAATTTAAGTGCTGTTACATATCTTGAAGTAATTAATGGGGAGGATTGCAAATTAAATTAAATACTAAAAAGCGAAAAAAAAAGTTGTGACATTTTAAAACATGACAAGTTCAAACCTTTGAATGAATGATCAGCAGTAATTGAAATAATGAAACTACTGTTAATTTCATTGCGTACAAGTTATTGATGACAAATTTATGAAAAGTTTAAAATAATACCATCATTTTAAATCTGAAAATTTGAATATTTTCCCATTCTTTAAACCCACTTTTCCAGAATTATTATTTCATTCCAAATTTCAGGTAAAAACTTGATACTTTCTTTGGTTTTTTGTTCCTTAAGTGTGTTGGGACAATATATAAATAAGTAAGCGGCTTATACATACTTTGCATCAGAACGTTACAGTAGTATTTCTTTTTTTTTTGTCTTGAAGTGTTTATATCATGAATAAATTATCTTCAACTGATTATTCACTGGTAATAGACTTTAAATTTCACTAAAATATGGAAGATAAATTGCAAAGTAAAATCGGCAAAATATAAAAACTTTCCAATTTCCTATCTAATTTAATGTTGCCGTAAAGTTTTACATCGAAAACAATCATTTAATTACACATTGAAAAGTCTTTGCAAACCCCTCTATATTTCAATTAGTTTAATTATTCCATTCTTGAATTGCTTAAATGAGTGCAACTTTTAAATTGAACTGAAAATGCGAGCAAAATTTTGCATTGCAGTGGTGGATGTGCAAAAAGAATCTATTCCTTCAAAGTATGAGAATTTTCTCAGTAAAAAAAAGTAAGATATGAGTTACACACATCCGCACATATACAGATATGCGCACACACATACAAACACACACACACACACACACGCACGCACACGCGCACGCACACATACACACACATGCACACACATACACACGCATACACGCACATACTAAATGTCTCGGTAAATAGTAGTGAAGATAAACAATGATATGTATGGTTACAGGAATAATAAGAATCAAGAAAATGAAGATATCTGATTGATCCTTAAACATTTGCTGATTGTCGAAGTATGAAATGCACGATTGTTATAGCCAAAAAGCGATATGATGACATATGTGATCCAGACTGAATGACCACATAATCTAGCCATCTCAGAAATCAATAATTGTCAAGTGTAAATGCGTATCTCATCACTGTGACACGCATAAAGTATAGTCAGAAATTGAATTGAAATTTCCCGAAGTGTCCAGCTGTTTTCATCAATGTCATTCACAAAATTTACTGAAAAATTAAAATTTTGGAGAGGATTTAAGAAATGCTTGCAAAATGACAAGCGAAGGATGAAGTTTCAACCGATGTTTTAAGTGATAATTACGCAGAACTGCATCGCGAAATTAATTGAAGCTTCGAGGGATGCGACCCGCCATTTTTCGATGATCTCAACATATTTTTCAGTTTTGCAGGCAGTAAAAGCATGTATCAAGGTAGGATTTCATGTTGTCCTCTTCTTCCTTTACCAAATAACTGCTGTTGAAAAAGAATCTCAGAGGCTTGCAAGATATCGATTACACTTACAGGCACTAATGAGAGACTGCCAAATGTTTGTGTTTTAACTTTAAAAGATAATAACATATTATGGTGAGGAGAAAATTTGAAAAAATGAGGAAAAAGTTAAAAGTCTATAAGTAAAACGTATCCCATTTCCCATGGAATCTAGAAGATCAGTTTTTTGTATCCATAGCGACAGATATAAAGCTACTAAGTCTTGGTGTCAGCACTTGAAAATATAAATTCCATGCGGGTTAAACAAAGTTAATGTGAGCTAAACACTGGAACTGTTTTACTGATATATGTCAATCAATTTGCTCCCCCTAATTTTAGACTGGGAAAGATTTTTCAAATATCTTGTAAAACAATTCAGCTAAAAATCACTATTTACTCCTGCGGAAAAAAAAAAAAACACGCAAACAGTCCAATATACATCAGGGAAAAAAAGCTACATCAGATCCTACGGTTTTGCTTTTCTCTCTTCGTCAGGCTTCTTATTTGATGGCTGAGGCATTCGCTTTGATATCACTTCTGCCTAAAAATTATTTTGCACATTACATCAATCAGGTCAAAAGCTGAACCACTAAATTGTTCTGTATAACCCCTGCGCCAAGTAGGCTGTTTAGTCATCGCATACGCTGCGAAAATAATGAAGGCAACACTCACTAGTATAACCTCCATTACGGCAGTTTTTGCAAAAATTCATTCCGCCTTCGAATAGAACTTTTCAAAAACTTTAGCTGGCTGGCATCACCTTACTCTTACTTATTACGTCTTCTGACACCAGAAAGAATAGAATAAGTGACAGCTAGCAAAGTAACTCTAGAAAACAAATTCTCGACAAAGCTCAGCATGCAGCTGTACCATTACCAGGATAGTGATTACAATGAGTATCCGAACAGTTATGACTATCCAATCATCATGCACTATAACCTACAGGAACAAAACTGATACCTCTATATCACAGTAAGAATATTTTTGGAAGTTAAAATAATCGGAACATTTGTATTCCTCCGGATTCACTTTCTTCTTCATTCCAATCTAAAACAAAATTCGAATAAAGAATGATTTATATTAGTGCGACAGAAGAGACCTTTAGCTTGTTGACGGTTGGATCTTTTTAGATCCAGTCGTCCAGAAATAATTTTCTTGAGAATTCTGATCAAATAACTTAATTCTGAAATTCTTTCAGGGAACAGAAGAACAACTTCAGGATATTTCCTTATTTAATCGTTTGCTCGAGAAAAATTATGCTTATTTTACAAGCTTATAACATCCTCATCCTATCTTTTTAAATGACATCTTCGCCACCTGGTGTCATTACTGCAATTGCAAAATGAAAAATACAAAGCTTTTCAATATCTTAGAATATGAATGCCGCAGCATAATAAATTTTGAAGATATTCCAATATCGTTCAAATTTCCCTTTAAATAGCAACAGCACTGCCGTGATAATCAGCCATTTTATTCATTTACTTGGAACCGAGGAGCCTACTCTACTTTTGAATCAATGCATATTAAGTATTTGGTGCTAATTTCAAATTCCATTTTTCCCAATATTTAGCCTTTTTTTTTAATTAAGCAGAAATTTTATTCATATCAGACAAAACTTTGACTGAAATCAATAAAAATATGTGACTCTATCACACAAAAGCTTTAATTAAACTAAACAGAAAGCGCAACCTCTTTCATCTTCTCCGCATGTTCTATCCCAGTGGAATACAACGTTCTTATTAAGTTACTTATGGTTAACGTACGTGAACGTAGCTGTATGCCGATCGACCAAACAGATTCCAACATAGCCTGTAATAGCAATGAGTACCAAACAACCACAAACATCAAGTAAACTCAGAACGACCGAACACCACACCGCGAACTTGAACACCTTCATCTTCAAGTAGTTTGAAAACAACGGGCCACAAAATTGGCCGTTAAAATTCTTTTCCAATTATTGACTAGTTGCTATTGAAGTTGTTGGGCGACCCGTGCGTAGTGGTTTTGTCAGACGCTTAGTTGATATTATTACTGACGCAGTATACGGGGATATGGACAAGGTCGAGAAATAGCAGATGCAGAGTTTATAAATGGGGAAAAACTCGGAAGAATGAGAGGAAAGCAGGAAGTATTATGACTTTCAAGATGATGGAATAATTTCTGAGTATCATACTGTCCCATTGTTATCATGTTTGAAAGTAGGAAAGCAGTGTGGAATGAGAAGAAATATTAGAGACTGATGGAAAACTTAAAGATGTTGCCAAAATAAGGCAGCAGATATTAAGAGAATTTCACTTGTGATATTTCTGTAAGATTGCTATTTTCGTCGTGGTTTTCCTAGGTTCATACATAGTAAGCATATGTTTGGCAAGATTGTAGGATACATCACAAATTGGGGCTTTAAATTTCAAAGAAACAATCTTTCTCCTCATTCAAATTCCTTCGGAAATAAGACGAATAACTTTAGGATAATTATTTCCATCAATTAATGGATAAAAACACTTCTACTCTTTCATTTCTTTCCAATTTGCATGGGTTTTGCCAGATGTAATGTCTGTTTAATGTTCGGTTTCTTCTTTTTTTCTTTTAGCAAGAAATCTTATGGTGTATTTCGGAGTGGATTGGTCGAAATTCGTGGATTAACAATAATCATACGATAGATACTAGGATGGGTCGTTATTTCCTGGAACATCTGGGTGGTCGTCGAATTTTTTCGTGTGATAGCTGTAAAGCTTTTCTGACAAATGAGGATGAACTGATCTCGAAACATTTCACTGGTAAAAAGTTGAACATGGAGTACCCCATAATCTTAGCATGAAGTACGAAGTAGTACGTGAACGTTGCTTTAATCGTCATCGATCAGCGATAAGGTTATCTGTCACAGGGTTGTCTTGTAGCTAGTGTAGAAAAATTAAGATATGCCTGTGTATTGTTCATAAATGTAGTGAAGGTTTTTTTTGTTTAAATTCCAAGTTGTGGACTAGTAGAGTAGTCTTTTATTTTATAATTTAGGGGCTTTTCAGGATCAACGGGCCCAGCTTTTCTTTTTGACCGTGTCGTCAACATTGAATATTCGGAGATGCAGTTGCGAACGATGATTACCGGTCGACACATTGTTCGAGACGTCATTTGTAAGCGGTGTAAGGTATGATGGCTCATATGCTTTGTTCAAGGGGTTTTGTACATTATGGAATATTAGGGAATAGAATTGGAAGACTGGGAAGAATGTCCGAAAATCGAGGAAGTATTGACTTCTAGAAGGATTTATTTATGGTGTACTGACAGAAAAATTGCTACCACATCAAATTCCGCATTTTTTTTCTAAGAAGATTTAGTAGAAATTTGCAAGTGTACCAGTGAAACAATGTTGATTTTTTTCCGGTATCTTTGGAAGTATGAGATAAAACACAGCTGGATGCGAAGTAGTAGCAATATAAGAGAAGTATTAAATAAGTGAAATAGAAGTACAAGGTAAGGTAGGACAGAATACGGTATGGGTACAATGATTGCCTCTCTGTTACAAGAATTTGCATATAATACAGTAAAACTGCACAAAATCACATTTTAAAAAAAGAAATTGAGTTCAAAAGAATCACGCTGAAAAGGTCATTTGCATATTTTTCAGACAAAACTTGGTTGGATGTACGAGTATGCAATGAATGAGCCTCAAAAGTACAAGGAATCTAAAGTTATTCTAGAAAGAGCGCTGATCGAGATGAGTGAAGGCATCGATAATCCTGTTGACGATGGAAGAGAGCCACGACAACGGTATACCTAATATCTGTTAGTGTTTTCACCCAAATTTCTGATCGAGAGAATACAATATGTTGCGATGTATATGCATTCTCTGCGATTTTGTAATTTACATATGTACAGCCTTGTATATATGTTCGACAGAGTGGTTCCCCGAATCCAATATTGTCTTTTGCTTGCATTCTGAATGATTTTTTGGAACTGCGCTCAACTTCTAATGTTTCCATGGATGACTAAGAAGTACTGGCCTAGTGATTTGAAATTAAAGAGTTCTCGTGGAAATTCAACATTATGGAGTTTATTTACTATTGAACATTCTGGTTTCAGTATGAATATTTCTTACAGTTGTCTTTATAATGTTAATGATCGTTCTATACCACTATATTGCCGTTGTATTTTCTTTTCTTTAGGACAGGAATTCAGGTTTTCATAATATTTGGGAAGCTGTGAAAGGTGGGGGCCTACCTGTAAAGTTTGAATTTTGCAGATTTCTTCAAGTTTGAACCGATTAACATTTTTTTGGAACAAATGGTATTCCATGCTATATGAATCTTTTATTGGTGTGCATCAAATTCGATAAAATTATGGATTTTGTTGCAGAAGTTTTGATATCCAATTAGATTTCATAGTCTAAGGCATTGCCTTTACTATTACTAGTTGTTTCTGGATGTTTGTAAATGATGGCTTGCAGGAATTTTGGAAACTAAAAGGTCGTAAAGGACCAATGAACAGTTCTCATGTAATTATAATTTTACGGTTTCAGAGATATGTTTGGACACACTCCATCTTTGTCAAATTGCTTGTTGACATTGGTTTGCCACCATATTTCAAAATCTCGGCTAGCAAACGAGCACTGGAACATGAGCAGCACTTATCGAAACAGGTTCAACACCACAGAATGAAAATTGCGGTCAGATCGATAGTGGTGTAATGATGATTGGGAAGTGGAATGGGTTCATCTCTATGTTAGTGAAATGTAACAATGAAGGGCAGCTGTTGTTAGGAACTCTGACAATTCCGGGCGAATTAAATCTCAAGATGGAATTCAGACTTATTTGAAAGTGCGTGTTGCGCAAGAATGTCTTTCATGTATTGGTATCAATAACGTTACATTTTTATAGATTATATATTGTTGATTACTTTGGGCTGTACTAATCATGACGATACTACCTAACAAACCGAAGAAACTGACAAAAAGTACCGAGCGACATGGTTCGCAGCAAGCAGGGTTAGTCTTCTCATTCAAAATCCGTAGCATCTTTTTTTTTATTCTGCAGAAAAACATGAATTTTCATGCAAATTAATTAGGTATATTCTCAAGATACTTTATAAAGCATTTGCGTTGTTCGGAGCTAGAGAAAATGTAGAAAGAACGTGATTTTTATATCACATTGCAGAGGTTTTTCAATACCCAGCCTTATATCCTCGTTGAAGGCTATGAGTAAGGCTTCCTAATTATTCCTAGCATCTTGCCTCCCGGTGTTTACATTTGCTTATTCAAAACGATTATTTTTTGGACAGACTAGATGGGTTTACTGTGTTGTGATAGATTTTGTTATTCGGTATAGAAAAGGTTTCCGAATATTTCTGAATCTTGAAGTGATTTTCAGCAATCGGACTTCTGCAATGCATTCACTTAGGCATTCAAATGCGAACAACAGCAACGAGGAAAAAAGGAAAACTAATACTCCCATCGCTAGCTCCAAAAGTTCACCACTTCCGAGGTTATTCACTTCTCATGTCTTTCATTCGAAATATATGGCGCAGACGGTTTCTTCTTGAAGACATTCTGGTATAACCATTGCACAGAGCCAGGGTCTTTCGTTTCCTGAAGAGAACGTTTCTGGATACAGAGAGTTAGACTTGATGAAATGAATATTTTATATCAATAGATTTCAACTATGAATGAATAAAACTTCTCTTTTCTTCAGTTTCTGTAACTCGTAAAAGTCACTGAAAATAAAAATACTGCGATGATGTATGGAGGGGTGCAGCTGATATAACGAAAATCAACATATTTCAGGACTGTGTCTAGTAAAACTAATCATTCTTTGGGTCCCTCTCCACCGGAAACTAATAAGCAACCAAGACAAAGCACTCCGGAAGAAAATCCAGGTAGCTGGAATGTCACTTCATTACAAAGTTTTGGTTTTAGTTTTATTTCGTCCTTGAAAAATTATTGAATTTTTTTTGCGGCTTTTTGTTTTTTCCTACTGTTTTTATCCTTACAGGTGTTCCAGCTATCAATTCTGATGATGAGGATGGTTCCGGTTTCAAAGATGATAATGTATGTCTCATGTTTCCTCTGTGTTCATCAAAGTCTTCATGAACTAACCTAGGATTCTTCTGTAGTGGTAGGCAGAGAATGGAGGTGATGGATTGTTAAAGAAAACCATCTTTTTTTTCCTTTAAGAAAAGTCTGAGCAAAGTGGTTCAGGTTAATGAATCTCTCTACTGTTATATTATTTCAGCTCGAAGCTTGGTTTGAAGAGCGTTTGCGTTGCGTACGAGGCCTTGTGATTAAGCCTGTTCGTGGTGATGGAGCATGTCTCTTCCGTGCTGTTGGTGAGCATAGAATCCTAAGATGTCTTTCTTCATGCCATATCTTTGTTTTGCTTTTCATTATTAAAAACAAATTTTTTAGGAGGAGTAAATTCAAAACAAATTCTGGAGTCATAAATAATGATAAGCATAGCTCATTTTCTGTGCTTCTTTGCACATCTCTTTCATCGCTGATGATAGCTAAAACTTCTAATTCAAAAATGCGTTGTTCCTTGAAGAGAACAATCCTCTATATTTTAAAGGAATATGACATCACTTTTAAAATAAACATGTGCACATCTTGCCGCTAAATTTTCTTCACAAGTGCCTTAGTTTTCTTTCCAAATTTAAGATTCACGTTCTTGGTTTGTTCAACTCTGTTTTTTCAGCTGATCAGATATATGGTGATGAAGAAATGCATGACGATGTGAGGCGGCTTTGTATGGATTATATGGTTAGTTGTATCTACACCACATAGTTTTTGAATGCTTTAGTTTGTCTTTCTTATCATTATCCAAAAATATCATAAACTGAAATTAGTCATCTAGTCTTTTAAGTTTATAGTTCTCGTGATGTAGATCCCTGACCTTGCATAGTCAGTAAGGAGCAGTGTTTTTCTTTGGAACTTTATAAATATATGAAATATGTCTTTTCATGCTTCATTGTAATCCATATGTTTTTATACCCTCATCTTATTTGAAGTGTTCAGCTTAGAAAGATTTGTGATCGTTCTTTAATTTATCTAGTGTATTTGGGAACTCTTTACTGCTTGGTTTTTAAGTCAACTCTCCTGAACCAAACTTCCTTTCCCCACTTAGTTGTCCAAAGTTTGTTTAAAACTTTCGGAAAACTTTCAGGAGAAGAATAGTGATCATTTCTCACAGTTCGTGACGGAAGATTTTCATGATTACATTGCACGGAAGCGACGTCGCGATGCTCATGGGAATCATGTCGAACTACAAGCGATTTCGGAAATATTTTCACGCCCAATCGAAATTTATGAGTATTGTACTGGTGTGTTTTTTTCATTTACTGATAGAATCTTATGTACTTTCTTCTCTTCACAGTATTAATGTCTATTTTCAGAGCCCCGAAATATCTCCAGCTCCCGCCTAGATGCCTCCCCGTCTGCAGAACCGAACCCACCCATTCGTCTTTCATATCATGGTGCAATTCACTATAATTCGGGTTAGTGATGACTTGTATTAACCATCAAAAATACATGGTTTTGTATTAACCACCAAAAATACATGGTTCTGTTACTATAGTTTAAGTCTTGTTTTATGGATATTAATTTCGTTAATTTCAGTTGGTTTGGTCAAAAACTGAAACAAACAGTACCATTGAAAAAAAATGCGAGTTCTTTCGGATATGCAGCCACTTTTTTGCTATTTAAATTATTGTTTTTAAGCTTCATTCCAGAATGAGATGCATTTAGCTGAATTTCAGTTATTGATCCAACTAAAGCGACAGTTGGAGTTGGTTTGGGATTGCCTGATTATTCACCTGGAGCAGCGGACAGAAGCCTTTTGCAAGAAGCGTTGCAGAAATCAGAAGTTCAAATGATCGAAGACGCCATGCTGCATGATAAAATTAAAATGACTGATTTTGAGCGTACAGAACAAGATATTAGCGAACAGGTGACTGTTGAAATTCCCGTTATTTCTGCCTTTCATGTTGATTCACAAAATTGTAGTATGATAAGTCGAAATAATTTGCCGAGTTTGACGAAGTCCTGAACGTCTTTTAAGAAGTCAACGATGGCCTATTTTCATGCATCCTTTTTTTTCGGTAGTATTTTTACTGAACTTAATCATTTTACAGTTTTATTTCAGATAGCTCGACAATCTTATTTGGATTATTTGAGAAGTATTAGTAAAACCGAAAACACTGAAATGAAAGGAACAGCATTTGCGGTTTCGGAACCGGGTTGCTCATATGCAAATATTCGGCTTCAGGAAGGCAGTGATGGTGCAATAGGTATCTTCTTTTGAATCAATTCTAGGTGATTGATTAGAGGATCTTGATTAGTTATTTTTATTACCATTCAAGTGCATGTACAGGAAATATATGATTGGTGCGACATGTGTGGTGTGTGGTAATTACCAGGAATAGGGGACCTAAAATCTCTATACCGATATGAATTAACATTTCAGTTATATCCGGAACTGTGCACCAAAATTCACATGATTATTGTAACAGTGTGCACATTGTGCACTGATTGCTATCAATCTTGAATTTTCAAAAGATACTGAACTTCCTTTATGCATTTTTCATCTGCGGCTTAACAGATAAAAATACAGAGAGGAAGATTTTGCCCAGGATTTCGTAACATTTTTATTTTGTATTTAAATAAATTTGGAGTTTTGAAATATTCGTTTAACAGGTGCTAACGAATGGTTTCATGCAGCAGGATCGGATGCGGAAGAAAATGCATTGTTGGCACAGGTAATGGCACTTTCGCAACAGGAATTTATGAATTCGTTAAAGAAGAAATCATCGAAAGGGCAGAATGATGCTGATCAAGCTGGTTCTAGCAAGTCTTCGTAGGATTTGGTGAGTAAATTTTGATTTGTTCCACGCTTTTTTGGTTATCTGTAACTGCTTTCATCGTGTGGATGATGTCAGGGAATTTCAGGATGGCCGTTCCTCATTCGATTTAAATTATTCTCACGTTCTTATTTTTTTTATGATTAATTTTTGTTCATATCTCTGAAATTCACGCTTCACATGTATTTCTGAATGTTTGCGTTCTCAAAAAATCTTGGATTAATTCTTAAAGTTTCTTTCAATTTCTTGCACCTTATTTTATATTCACAACGTCTAAATTTCTTTTCCCGAAGCTGGCCGTCATTCATTAGGCATTAATGAATTATGTCAATTTATGTGGTATTTCATTAGTCTTTCATTTTAGAATTCACTATTTAAGAATGAGAAACAAAGTGCTTGGATGTTTTTATTTTAGTTTTTTATTTCCTGCAGCAATTGTAATTAATTAGGCTTCTTTTATCTAGCCTAGAAAATTATTATTCGACTGGTTTGGTGGATTTGTTGTAGTCCTTTCATTTAGTTATGGTAATGTTATTGTTTTGGGTGAGTATACTGCATCTGTTTTTCGATATTTTAATACTTAGGAATTGAAAGATGTACGAAAATGTGTTTCCTTTTCTATTAACTTCACTTTCTTATACATAATCTTTAATATCAAAATGCCAGTACTCTCCAGACGTTCAATTCATTCAATGCTTATAAATACCTTTCCATACAGAAGATACAAAGTACTAGCCTTCCGAAGGTGATTAGGAGAAGTTAAGGATTAAATAGCAGACATAAAATATATTGAATAAATTTCTAAAGGTCATTCGTTGCAGTTAATAGGGCATCAAATAGTTGGGCATCTTTTTATTCCGACCAAATATAATCCAAATTTTAGATTCATCTAGTGTTCAACGAGTGACAGTGATGTATGTATCGCTGTATATATTGTTGAAATTTTTGGTTATTCGTTTAGAAAATTCTTCAGAGTTTAGTGTCAGTGTCGTAAGTTTCCTTAACCAGTCATTATGTTTTCTTCACAAAGCTTCGTTGTACAAATTATGTTTGCTGGAAAATGTTCTGATTTTGTTTTGGTTGTAGATCCAGTGGTTGGAAGTTCTCGCCATTTTTTATTGATCGATTCGATCTATTTTTAGGTGAACATAATTTGATTCATTTATATCTGGATAAAAGTTCCAAAAAAATTCGTCCACTTCCCTACAAAACAAGCGGCAAATTTTAAATCAGCATTTCAAAAGTTGCAGTTTATTCCGTCTTGGTTACTCAACTAGCACCGAAAACCCTATTTGCAGATGAGATATTGATTTGATAGCTGGTTCAATGGATTTTTTGGTAAGTTGATGTTTTCATATGCGATCGCAGCACCATGAGATAACGGCCAAAAGATTCTAGGAATTATATGAGCCTTCTTATTGGCTGTTTCTATGGCTGTTTATAACACACAAAAAAGTAACTTTTCAATGTCTGGGCAACGATACTAAAATGTCATAGGCAACATGACATATTACTTGTCTCCAAATGCTCTTAACATACTAATGGCTTATTCAAACATAGATTATGGATTCTAGACAGATTTATTTTGTGGTTTATTTTTTTATGGGTTTATCATATAGAGAAAAATTTGACTTCAGCTTTATTTCTCATCGCCAACTTCCACAAAATACATAGCATTATGATCACCATGCGAATTCTGTTAGTACAATTCTATATGTTACATTCAACAGGGCGTATATTTTGAATTTGAACTAAGTTTTTCGTCGGCCCTGTAAAATTTTAAAAATTTCGCCATCCTTTGGGTACTTCTTGCGGAAGGGTTCGTTGAATTTGCATCCGAAATAAAATGTCGCCGTTGAATTCAAGCACCGATCAGACCTCCATATATACCTGTAAACATCTGTAATAGTCGTAGGAAGATAATACAAGGATATATTCAGTTCTTAAAGAAACAAAATATTACCAGTCGTTTCCACGCTCCACCAATTGATAATTATGGTACTGAAAACAAGAAGGATGAAATAGTTCGAATGCTGAATGAAAGACCTGTAAAAGACCTGTTTATTTTTATTTCGACACATGATTTCCAAATTCAAAAGCGTTATTTCTTTCAAAAAAGCGAAGAAATCATGGGCTTTAATTTGAGAAAAAAACAGAGAGAGTGAGAAAAAAAAAAAAGAGATTGTAGATTTCATAAACTATAACGTACCGTATGGGCATTGGGACAGAAAATATCGCAAAAAACACGGCTGATTGTTGCGTTGTATTTTTCCTTTAATTTGAACAATCATTTATTGTTATCCAAAATTTCGTGAAATTTTTTGATCAAAAAAGTATGATAGAACAAGATTTTTGCAAAATGTCATACCGTAAAACATCCAGCTTCTTTCGGTGCTGCTCGACCTGGTTCTTCATATTCCGTATCTTTCAACACTAAATGACATTTTGATGCTTCTTTGCCATTTTTTCTGGATAGATCTTTCGTTATGCATACCAATTTGCGAAATTCTGTATAAGAATTAATTCAATAATGAAGAAAAAAAAAATTAGAATCAAGATGATGGTTTTTTTTTTCGCAAAAAAAAAAAAAAAAAAACCAAGCCATATTTAGGTAAAAGTAAAATATAGCTGAACGAACAAAAAATCAAACATAATCATCGGATAATTGGGTTTGCTCGATTTTTTCGTTGTCTCTTATGGCCTTTAATCTCCAAAAAAGAAAAAAAAAAAAGGTCAAAACCTATACCTAAGTGATATGAAAATGAACTAACGTGGATGTGCTTCTGAAGCAATTAGAATTGAGAGGATAAGAAGAATTGTTGAAAATGACATATGGAAGTGATGAATACGACGTCTGATAATGAGAGATGTACTGATTGAATACCGTATCCGGAACTCCGTTACTGGCACTACCTTGTCACTAATTTTCTTAATAAATACTTGTTTTTTCTACTAATTCGTCTTGTTCATTTCATCTTTTCTTCTCAAATTTATCATTAATCGTTTACTCTGACTATTTAATCAATTTATACATTTCTCGTTGATCTCAATTATTTAAAAACTATCCCATCCTTTTCTTCTTTCATTCTCTTAAATTCTTATTTTTATTTTTGCCCATTTTTATTAAAAATAGCAGGTTTTTGCTTTCTTTTGCTCGCGTTTAAATTAATATCAATTAAAAATTTGAGAATTACCAGGAAATTATTATTGTTCATCAGTTTCACACTCCCAATGATTCTTTTTGTTTCTTAGGATAATTTCCAAAAATAAAAAATAAAAATAAAATAAAATTCCTACTGAAAAAAAAACTTAAACTATAAAGTTTTTCATTTTATAGCTAAAACTTTATTTTC